GACCTTATCCGAACAGGTGACAAAAACCGCGGCAATAGGAACAGAAAACCGCGGAAATACAGATCAATGTTAACGCGAGTCCCCACACCGAAATCAACTATTCCACGAAATGCCATTTTTCTCCTTTTTTTCTATCAGTCGATGAATTTCAATGAATTTACGATAAGCGACAGTCGACTTTCCCTCGAATTGTCGACGCGCATTTTAAATCGAATCTATTATTCTGCAATAAAATTTCTCAACCAATTGCCAATGCATCAATGAATTCTCAGCTTTTGAAACAATTCGGAATTTTTTACCTTGTCATTTGGTGTTTATTTATTGCGGCAGTAAAAACGTTCTCGGAAAATTACATTCGTACAAAAATTGAAAAAAAGCCTCCAATTTCCACTCAGTGATTAGCATTCGTTATTTATTAAATGCTCGTTGATGATGTAATAATGGCCGTGAAAATTCAATAACTTTTGCCTGTCAATGAAGGAAAACAGAAGGAAGTGATAGATTGCAGTGGAATTCAAGGATGAAAAATTGAAATATTACTGTTTGACCGTAGGAACGATGATATCCGTCGGATTCTTCAGCCATTTCCTGAAGATCGATGATGCTTTGGTGGGAGTCATGAGCTGCATGAGCAAAATACTGGCGAGTTTGGTCTATTCATTTGCCACTGAAGACTGGATGATGTATCTCGGTGAGAACCAGCGAATACTCATCAGAATTAAACAATGTCGTAATTATATTTAAATTCCAGCACCACTCGTGGAGATTGTCAATGGCACATCGTTCATAGCAATGCGTTCAATAGCCTCGAAGCTAGTGCCAACCGATGAACTGGGTACGCAAAAATTCAACAGTAAAATTAAAATAAAATACTGCAGTAAAGAAGAGGTAAAGAGCAACAAGTCGATTTGTTTGTTATTGAAGTGTTTAAAAGATATCTCCGAATCTAGAGGCCGGAGGGAAAATTTGATGAGGACCTTTTTTGCAGAGTGGATTGAGATCTAGAAAAAAGGTTCTCATGAGAATTCCGGTATGGCCCTCAGACAGTCCGAATCGACTGATTTTTCTCGTTTACCTCTTCACCTCTGAATCCATCTAATGAGCAGTTGTCTTCAGGCAAAGTTAATTCATTATTCGGTGTCTGCGAATCTCTGATGCCCCTCGTGTACGGTCCAATATACAGTTCTGTTTATGCATCGACAATGAACACCCTCCCAGGTACATTCTTTTTACTCGGTGGATGTCTGACAGCTCCAGCAGTAGTTGCTTTCTTGTAAGTATCTGGATCAAAATTGTTTTTCATTGTCCACTACCATTTTTAACGCCATTCCCAACCGCTTCCACCATAATTTTCATTGACATGAATGAGTAACAGTCGAGTCGACCAACGAATCATTAGTCCCCCATTCAAAATAGATATAATGTGTGCGTAGATGGCTGTACAGAGAGCACAGGAGGGACCGGGCTACATTGGAGCGCGCAATGAGGAAGGAAAAGTCGAGTAAAACCGAAGAACGAGAAGCCAATGGGAGTGTTGCTGTTGAAACAAAGACCGAGAATGATAAAGAACTGCGAGTTCAGATAATGATGAATGATAAACAGTCAGAGTCAAAAGCCTATGACAATCCGACATTTATCACTGAACACTTATGATCCCATGTAACTATTTCTACTATTTCTACTATTTCTACGATTTCTACTATTTCCACTTGTTGATGCTGAAGGAGAAGGAAGAAAGGGAAAAATAGAAAATGAAATTCAATATTCTCCATTTTAACATGTATACATGGGTTGAAAGGTAAAAATTATGTAAAGCCTAATCACATCTAAAAGTGATTTAGTTTTCTTTTAAAACGTTCTGTCATCACACATCGATAGGTCTCTCGTTAGTTCTCCTATTATTGTACTGTAGGTAAGAACAAGGCAAGAAGACTAATATCCTATTTTCTTCATCACTATCCTAGAAATAATCGTACTTAAGTTATTTATTTAACGACGAAATAAAACCAGATGAGAGTGGTTTGATTGATAGCAGTATTACTACGATTACTACGTACCATTTAGAAAAATTTATGACAAATAACACGTGCATTATTAAACGTTTCGTCTCGATAAATAATCCAATATTTCATATTGTGATATAGCATTAGGTGGGCAGTTTTTGTATATATGTAGTTTCAATAAATCAGAGTTATGGTGAATGGAAATTTTTGAATTGTCTCATGCTTTCGAGTAGTGTAGCTCCATGGAGACAGGAAATATCTCCGATGAGAACGAGACCTGAGAGGTGCGATGGCCTGTTTTATGCACAGAGTACTCACAATCATTCACAACTGTTGAATAAAGCCCATAAAGCCCAAATACCAGTGTAAAATGGTGTACTTATAGGTACAGATTGTGATTATATGGGTACAACCTGTAATAATACCACAATATATGTTCACTCATTTCGTCATAGGATAGTTGATAGTACGCTGATCATGTCATCGGAGTGATTGGTCTGATATGAAAGAATTTGGACGAACTGAACTTTGAACGTCAATTCGATTTCAGTTGTTACGCACTGAATAACATTTATTTTATTTCCATTGAAAAGTCGAGGCGCAATCATCTGTTCTCCAGTACGATTTTTGTATCATTTGGTGACGGAGCTGGTCTTTAATTCCAAAGGTAGAAATTTACTGAATTTTATTATAACACATGTTTCTTTGCAATTGACCTCGCGTGCTAACGTAACCGGTAGAGTTACATACCAAAACGGTATAAAGATAATCAACCGACAGTTGAAGCCAACCCGGCAACTTTGTAACACATCATTCAAACTCGGTAAAAAATAAAATCAACAAAATCGAGAATAAGTCAAGTATATTTAACTGTCGTCACTCAAAATTCAAGAACTCTTTAAAATTGTATACAATTGCTGAGTTACAGTCTGAAATTGGGGGACAACACCAGAGCCCAACAATCCTTTCGCAATTATCATTGAGGTCACTTGTAAATTATATTATTGAGTAATGAAAAATGTTTAATGGGAATAAACGACAAGAACGTGAAATGAGCGGGAGAAGAAAAATAATTGTTGAATTTCTTGGTGTATTTTTAGCTTGATGTCATTATCAACGGTTTCGTTTTACTCAGTTTATTATTTCATCGAGGAATTCGGTTAAGCCTCATCCCAAGAATTACTGAATATATTTTTTGAGGATAAATTCAATGATTAAACAGGTAAAATACTCCCAATCAGATTGATAAACGTGGGCCATGAGTCATGATGATTGGGTATTCGTTGTGATCATGTGAGGGTCAGAAGTTAAGTAGAAGCATATTAAGAAAGCAGAAATCAAGACGAGTTTTGCTGAGTGGCTTGCATCGGAGTATTGTCTTTCAAATTGTGTTCTACTATCTTGATTTAATAATTCACGTTGACGCATTGTTCTGTTTGTATTTTCCCTTATTTATGTGGAATGTTAATTCAGGGAATAATTCACTCGAACTTGTGACGAAATATTTTTTGGTGATATTCCATTTCTTTTTAAGGTACGAGGTATGAATCTGAAGTGGTCTTTCGTAATTCTGAGTCTTCTCGTCAGCATAAATGGATTATCAGAATCGGAGCTCGATTCGTTTGTCAAATTAACTGCCCTCGGTTACGAGGATGCGTGCACCAAAGCAGCTGAAGCCAAATGGTTATTTATCAAGGAATGTAACAATGCAAGCCGCCGGACATGGGTAAATACCGTAATTAGAATTAAGTACCGAAGTAGTAAAGTGGGATGACTCGAATTCACTGTTTTTCTCAGCTATCGATTTATCTCGAGAGCCATAATCTTTGCATAGAAACATCAGAGGACTTTTTTGTGGACCATTAAATTCTCAACAAAAAAGGTGTCTTGATGTTTTCTCCTGGAATCTATAACTTTTGAGATTAATCGACTCAAAGATCCAACTGCAGAACTCGACTTATTTCGTTTTACCATTGTCCTGTTGTTTATAAAATTGAAAGTAAAAATGTTGTTATTTAATTGTATTCGGATTGTTTAATCGCAGGAAGAAACACTGGTAGAGTACGCTGAATACGTACGTACGCAGAAGACCGAAATTCCTGGAATGATTAATGGAACCCTCGAGAATTCCCAATTACAATACAAGCTTGATCTTATATCAAAACCTGGTGATGCCTCGATGGAGCCTGAAGATTGGCAATACTTTGTTTCTTTCCTTGGTGCAGCAGAATTATCGAAAATTATTGGTAATGAGTCGATGCCTGATAGATCCCTGAGACAGCGCACCGAGACCCTTCTGTCGAGAAATTCTTCAGCTGATGAAAAATTCGAGATATGGACATCATGGTATGAGAACTTCAAGCCATCAATCAGTCATTTCGCTGAGAGCCTCAAACTAGTAGAGAACGCTACTGCAGCTAATGGTGAGTTAATTACACTTATTAATTCTCAATACTCGGTAATTATCCGTGCACTTGGCAATTCCGAAAAACCCTGACATGGAAATCTTCAACTCGATGTATGTCTACAGATAATGCATTCGTGATATATGAATGAATTTCAATAAATCTAATCAGTTTAAATAATTCGTCCCCCAACGCAGAGATTGAATTCATTACGAAAATGCAAAATCTTCTCTAATTTTAGACGAAAACCTTAAGTACTATTTCTCATCGGCAATTCATTAAACTAAAAATGATCTGCATATTTTTGCTTTGAATCGATAGCTTTCGAGATGAATAGAAAATTAATTAAATATGCATAATTGATTATTTACAGATATGGAGAGCATTGATAAGTACTGGCTCATGCTAAATGACTATGAAAAAAGTTACGAGGAGGCCGAAAGGCTCTGGGAAGACGTATCTCGCCTCCACAGAAGAATTCTAGAATTCCTGCAGAAGAGACTGACCAAAAAATATTCTAATACCTCTAGAATTAATGAAACGTTACCAGCTCATTTACTTGGATCCCTCGAGGGCTACGACTGGACCCAGCTTGCCCTGCAGACGATCCCCTACCCCGACATAACTTTTGAAATAAGGGAAAAACTCCTGAAGAGGGATTTACTCGGTAAAAATCTGTACAAGGCAGCCTCTCGCCTTGGAAAAATACTGTTGAAACACGTACCTGAAACTCCATTTTGGGAGGAGAGTGATTTTACCGCACAGTGTCCATCACGTTTGATAGATCTTTGCACAGGCACCATGAGACTGTCCACTTGCTCAGACCAGTCGTCTATTTCGAGTTATCTATCTGCACATAAGGATGTGGCAAGAGCATTGATTCACCAGATGTGGATAGAAAACATTCCGATCCTCAACGTGGCCAACAGATACTCCGCTCTTGACTCAGCAATGGAGGAATTGTTCGGTGTTTTATCCATGAGCCGAGCCTGGCTCCTATCCCTGAACCTAGTGAACGAAACTGATGATCAGGACGAAGTACGAGTCGTGTCGTTGATGATGACAGCCCTCGATGTCCTCCCGAGGATGGCGTATTATCTTGGAGCCGATCTGTGGAGGCTCCACGTCATCCAGAATAAATCATTGACTCCTGGGGAATTGACTGTCGCTTGGTGGGAATATCGGGAGAAGTACGAGGGGATTTCCACAGTGGATACCAGTGTACCGACTTTTTTAGATGACGAATTCATCATCAGTAATAAACCTTATCTGTCGAAGTTCTTGGGAATACTCCTGGGTTTTCAAATATACGAAAATATAATGGATTCCACGGAGATGAGATACGAGAAGGTGCAGGCATTCGGGCAGAAACACGAGCTGATAAAAATGATTCAATACGGTTCTGAGGATAATTGGAGGGAAACTATCAAGAAATACCTGAATATTTACGAGATATCTTCAGATTCTCTGTTGAAGTATTTCTCGCCGTTGGAGGAGTTCCTCGACGAGTTCGATGATGAGTCGATGGACTTCAATCCCTCGGCCTTAGAAAAGGCGATTGAAGAATTGGAAGACGACAAAAAGAAAATTGCTGTTTCTTATAGAAGCAAAGAGATGACAACCCTACCTACCACGGCGTCAACATCGACGTCGAAAGACGGCGAGTCATCGAAGTCTCAAACAACTTCAAGCGAACTGAAAACTTCCCCGCATCAGTCCTCATCAACCCGGGAAAACACAACGAAAACAGTGAAAGAAGGACACTCTGTGGAGAAGAAAAATCCTCAGGAGAACGAGGAAGTTATAAAATCTGGAACGAGCAAAGCTGTTTGGGCTGTCGGTGCTGTCTTAATAGCTACGGTAACAATCGTCATAATCGCGATATTTGGACGTCAAAGATGTCGGAAAACACCAAAGAATAGGAGATACGTGTAGAGCCATGACGAGAGGAACAGACAGAAGAAATTCTGCAGCGAAGCTATAGAACAACTGCGGTCTACTGTATTCTTCTCAGTTTTCAAGAAATATCTAAAAACTTGTGATTACCTTTTTGTGGGGTTTCATCTGCTCTACAAAAATGTTTATGAGAAGAATTTTTGGTTTTCCTACGAATACCGAAATAATTTGCCAAAATTGGTAATCAACAGATCGAATTGACCGTTTTACCGCTACAGGATTAATTAAATCGTAGATTAAGGATTAGATGTAACATTCCGCAGAAATTTCTCTGCCAAAGGGTAATATTTCGTAGGATTATCAAGTTATTTATATGTATTAGTCCACGATTGAATTTCCTCTTCAGAAATATGTGATACCACATGAACAGTATTTCGTTTTTTTTTCGAAAATAAAGAACAGCGTCGAAAGGTATATTCAATTGATAAAAATACGCACGCATATGCTGTTACCTAAATGTAGGTAAAATCACTTAAAACTAGTATTTATTGCGCACAACACGCACAAAAAAAAAATGATAGGAAAACCTCGCAAATTCGGTTGAGATTTCTATCGACTTTCTATTGAACTCTCCACAAATTTTTTGTTAAATAAAAAATGATCACTAGAAAATTCTACTTTCCCCTTTTTTCATCATGAAAATCGGATAAAAAACTGTAAAAGGTTGAGCCGTTAGAAAAATCGATTCTCTCGAATTGATTCGGAATATTTTTTCAGAATTTTCAACGCAGAATAAAAAAACTAATAGACAACTCAATAGAACTTCAACAGAATTTTCCAGCACATTTGCTAGTTTTTTTTCTGTGAATTTTTTAATATAATATATAAAGCCCCCATTTACATAATTCCACCCTTCTGTTGAATAACCCGCGTGTTTCATTCATAATCAGTGGATTCTGGGCCGCTCATTGTTAATAATTGTCTGGTGTAAATAATTGTCGAATATGTGGTGTACATGCTGGATCAATGAATAGAGTAAATTTATATTTTTTTATAAGATGTATGGAAATAAAAAATGACAAAAATTGAGAGATTTTTCTTCATTCCCCTGGATAAGCTAGTCAAGGCCGAGTGTCAACTTTCAAAATATGAGGGCGATAGTTGCAAGTAGGGAAAACTACCCCCTGTAATCGAATAGTTGTCCAAGCATGCGCTTCAATGTTCGACAGAGGGATTGTTGCATGCAGGGAGGGGCGAGTGACTCAGTCAGTTATTCAGTATTTTCAATCAAAAATATTCTACTTCCTCCGGAAAAAGCGCCCACAACCCCAAGATCTAATCGCCCATTACTGCAACAACAACAATGGCCTTGTTCACCACTTAAAACTGCGATGAACAAATTACTCCAATCATATGAACCAAAGGTGAGTGACAATGGCTTCAATATTTCATGGAATCAACCCCATGTCATTCGATTGTACAGCTAGTTGAGTTTATTTTTACGTGGAATGCAGAAAAAAAGAAATCTTTATAATCTAGCTCTGAATTTTCCAAAGTGACCCCAGCAGCCAAGAGGGTCTTCGATCTTGGACACGATCCAACTCACTTTTCTCGCACTATTTCTCAGAAGTCAATGCGTTGAATACTTGTTGAGATACGGTACAAGTACAATATTCCACGATAACACCAGAAAAAAAGTGATTAATAAATACCAATGAAGCTGATAAAAAAAAAAGATGCAGCGCCGATTGAACTTCTAGTGTAGAGAACGCTTGATTGATTCCCTGTGTTCATAATTTTTCCATCTCTCCATATCAGTGACTTCGTACTCGAGTTATTAACTATTTCCAGGCGTGCTCACTCGACCCAATGAAAAGGGTTGTTATTTTAAAACTCCACACATCTTTCAGGCATGTGTGGACATATGCCATGTATATCTGAATGCCAGTGGCATGCTCATATGCCAGAGCCTTCAGTTCTCCCATATATTTATAAGCATCATCTTCTTTTTGTCAATCCAATCCTTTTGGACTTCCATTCACTACCCATATATTCTAAAATTCCACGAGACATGATCCATAAAAACAAAATAATGAGGAAAATATAACGGATAATATTTACTAGTGGCACACCTTTGGAGGCACCTGTGCAAGTAGATTGTGCAGTTGAAGGGTATAATTTAATGAACTCCAGGAGATTGAGGAAGAGAGGACTTCTGCCATGTGTATTGTGTTATTCTTGTTCTGCACCAGGTCGTATTAATAGAGATCAAACTCAGCGTCGTGTCGTGTCGTGTGCAAGATCTCTCCCGCGCGGAGTAAATGCAATCATACCAGTTTGAGTCAGACTTTAGTCCATGAATGTGCTGAGTACTGAATCCCTTGGAACTCCCTTGTGAAAGAATATCAATCAAATAATCTAAAAGACAATAGAGTTGTTAATTCGTTGATGGCGACAGTTGATAAAGACAGTTAATGCAGACAGTTGATGCAGACAGTTGATGCAGTCTTACCTGCTAATTACTGGAGCTAATTACTCATTCTTCAGCAGTGAATAACGTGAAATTTTTCAATTAATGAATAATGAAGACTGTGATGTGTTAATACTCTATGAAGCATTGGCAATTTCCTACGAGATTTACAATACCAAGAAGATGGGATAAAATGATTAGTCATTAGGTCGGTGGCTGCCCAATTAACCGGAGCAATTGTATCCTCACTTGTTGCAATTTAGACAGAGTCGTCCCTCTCCACTCCAATTGACGTAACATCTATTAATATCAATCCTGGACATCTAACTTCCTTTCAATTGATTGCTGATATGATTTCCCTTTTTCTCTCGCTCATATGGCGTTTCCTGGGCGTTATCTCTGTCGAGAATCATCGGATTAATTGTTGATTCAGCAGTTGAGCCTAGAGAGATTGAAAGTCTTCGAGCGAATCCAGTGTAATGTACTCAGAAGTGATAAACATTGTGAATATGCTGTGATAGAGTTCTTGGTATTTGAGAATAAAGTGAGGGGTGGAGAAACAGGGCTTGCCTGCGTCAAATGATGCTAGTAGTTCTTTTATGCGTCATCATGAAGATAGCAGAGTTATCCGTCGGCCCTCTGAATTCCCCTTTGGCCAGGGAATCAACGACTTGTGATAAACCCAAACGCCGATGTCGCATACACGGACGCAATGTCAAAAACAGAAACTACGGAAGAAAGAGTAAGATATTTCAATTGTATTTGCTCTGACAATGTCCAAGTACTTGTTATTATTTGGTGCGTAACTTTCGACAAGAAAATTATACGAGTGAAACCTCAAAAATTGTAATTAATATTTGAATTGTCTTTTTTTCAACATTCAGTACTTGAATGAATCATTGAAATAATAATTTTTCTTATTCATGAAATGTCATGGCGATTGTAGGGAAAATTTTGAATTTCAATTCATAAATTACTGGAAGAAAATGGAGTGGCATTATTGTTGTTATTTCAAGGTCTTCCATTGAAAATAGATAAATTATTATTTTGTTTTATTGAGCAGATTGGAAGTCAGGGCTCTGGAGTTTAAATAATAAAACAATTTCAAAATATGCGGAAATGTGGGATTAGATGGTGGCTCAAACGAAAGTTCTTCAAGTGTAAAAGCATTTCTGGATAAAAAGTAGTAGAAGAACTTGGATATCCTTAAGTGATATTGCATGAATCATTAAGTCGTTGAACGTTCTGTCCAATTGCGCACGTTTCCCTCGTTGAGGGGAGAAATATCAGTAGTTCTAATTCCCAGTTATAAATTCTCAAATAATCCGTGAAATAACTCCCCAGAATATTCGACAGGATCACAAGAATCCAAAAATAAAAACAAAAATTCGTCTACATAGGACCAAGCTCAATAATTAAATTTAATAATAAATATATAATACAAATACATGAACCGTGATAATTGGAGGATTGTTGGATGTGAATTGTTGGGGTCGTCCCCCAAAAATCTGTTATTACACTCCAGCAATTGCGCATGCGTTATTTCATTCGTATGTGCAGCAGCCATTGCTCCACGAGAGTGACGTCAGTTCACTGACAATTTTCATTTCTCCCAGTGGTTCAAAGTGGAGAAGTCATACGGGTGTAGTCCAGATGTAGGCAATATTGCCCAACAATCTGTGACAACTTGACGAGTTGACAGTTGTGGCAAGTGGTTTACCAGGATAAACGCTCTAAATTCTAGTTCTTCCAAATATTGATCTGGTATTTGATGCAAGAGCCACGGTTGTCTTGATCATCTACGGTGTGTCAGTGATGAAATCAAGTACAACTCGTAATGATAATCCCCCTGTTTCGTATTTCTCATTCTGATGTGAAAAATAAAGAGACGTGGGTTCGTCGTCGTAGCCTACGCGAGGGACGGATCGATCGTAATGCCATGTAGGAAGGTTAGTACTCGATGTCGAAATAGGTTCACTCTCTCTCTCATATGAAGTGAGAAATCAATAACACCACGAGAAGTAAAGGATAAACATCATTGACACATGATTGGAATCATTACAATTGAGTTGAGCGATGTGACATTTGATATTCATTGTTAGGTGTAATGCTAATCTTTCCATTTTTGGGTATGCGATTGTTGAGACTCGTTGTTTAATGCATTGAATGCATTTTTCGATGATGAAATGCAGTTGACAGCACATTCTGCCTATTGCTAATTGGTTTTTTTCATTATTCTTTGTTCAGGCTGTGGCAGAAGAGCAACAATGATGGAAGATCCTCAGACCCCGGGCTCTGACTGCAATTCGAATCCAGCAGATCCAAATTCTCAGGATCTGATAGGCTCGGAATTTATCCAGGACAACTCTGATTACCAGTGGTTCATTGATTATGGGTACAGGGATGGAAGTCTCCATGTTCATCCAAGTGTCCTTTCTTCTCTGTCCATGTCGTACACCCAAGATGATCTGGGTTACTACGACGATTTGGCACGAAATCTGGATGCCAATCTTGCTGAAGTGGATATGGAGAGTTTTCGCACTGCTGACATACACACTCTCCTCACAGCTCTCCCAGTCATGTGCACTGATCCCGTCCAGCAATCAGAGGTAATAAGACAAGTATTTTTGAAATTCCCTCGTGCAATAATTCAGGGGCACAGTAAAACGTTTCAAGCGAATTTTGGCTGTCCGCCAATTTTCAATGAATATCCCGGAATTGAGGGCAGATATCAAAATTGTTGTCATAACATTTTTTCAAGAGCTCATTCAAAGCCGGAGAAAAGATTATTATCAAAATTGCGATATCTGCTCTCAATTCTGGGATATTCATTGAGAACTAGCAGAGTCCAATTGAATCTTTTTTTTTTAATTAATTTTTTTATATATATTCAATCATTTTCGTTTTCATTATTTTTGCGAAACAGTTTAATTACCAGAGGGAGCGTTATGCCAGCATTTCTGGCTCTGTCATGGAGAAAATCGACATTGGCTCCTCCATCAGTCCCCATTCCAGCAGTCAGGTACGATAGAATGAATTTAACGCCTGTTTTTCATAACACACCACTCAACGATAAATGTTTGATTAAAGGGAGAAGATTCGGCTTGTTCCACGACCGATACGATTTCCATCTGCAAATCATCCCTACTGTTCTCCCCAGTGAAGGAGACACCGATGTTGCCCCCCGGGGGAAGCTACAGTGTTGACTCTTTAGACTGTGAAGACATGCTCTTGACTTGTCAAACGCATAACAAAAACAATTACACAATAGCCTTCGAGGGTAGCATGACGATGTACTCAGACGCGTCCCAAGACTTCGAGAGCCAGGAGAAGAGTCAGAAGTCGAATCAACCCCGCGAGACATTCTACAACACCAATATTGACCTGAAGAACATGATGGACCTATCGATGGCCTGTTCTGACTCGAAAATCTACACGACTTGGAGTAATCTAAAGCACTCATCAAACCACAAAGTAATGATACGTCATGGCTCTGGTAATAACAATACAATAGCAAATCTGTCATTAGCTGCAACAGCTCTAAGTAAAGCAGGAGCGACAGCGACCCCAGGAGTAGACAGTGATCTATTGAATACAAATAAGAGGAGCCAAAGTTTACCAGATTTGAGAAAAGCCCCAGATCTGAATCACTCGAGTCTCCTGCCCCTAAACTTTTCAATAGATTCTGCAGAATCCAATCACCAGAATCTCCACAACTCAGGATTGATGAGTAGATCGATAAACGAGAGCTCCACAAACAGCACAACATCTGGGAAAAAAATCCAAAACATGAGTCTCGTTAAATTATTTATGAAGCAAAAGAGCATGAGTGCCGAGGGCATGAGTCTGACCCTAGACCAATCTGACTCAGCGAGTGACAACGACTGGCCTACGAGTAACAACAATAGCAACAGTCACAGTAGCAGTGACACAAACACCAACACCCAAATTCATCGTAAAAATATTAATGAAAAATCCAACATTCCAGAGAATGATTTCACAATAAACTGGTTGAAAACCGAGTGCCACAGAAGTACATCGAGCAACGAGGTCAGTTCCTCCAATACATCAAAACGTATTCCATCGATAAAAGAATTCAAGGAGGAGTCGCCCTCGGTGGAGGAGTTGTCCGAGAGCCTGTTGAAATCGGAAGCAGACGTCGATAAGATTCACATCGATGAGAGACAAACACCGAGCCTGAGAAAAACAACAGGCATCCAAACAATAACCGAAGTAGAGGAGAATGGAGTGCAGACCTCACTGCTGTACTCCCTCGGCCCACCAAAGAATAATATGCCATATCTACGTGAGACTCTAGTCGACAAGAAACCGGTTTACGTAGTCTACCCAAACTACACACTCCCAGATCTATCATTCCTCAAAGCCAAAGAATCTCTGGAGAACATGATTTCCCTGAAGCCCCACGAGAGAATCGGTTGTAAAAAGAATGGAAGAACGACCCGTCCCTTCTCCTGCAACGACATAGAGGCCCTCAAACAACGAGGCTTCTCTCACATCAAAGACTGGGAGTCCCTGACCTTCCTCCTGCCCTCGGAGTACAGAAAAATCCTTCACGATGTGCCTGACATCCCGAGGCATGTTAAACTTGGGGAGGAAACGAGAAAGCCCTTGTTCTGTTTATCACCTCCAATGCGTCACCGGATGAGAATGAATAATGATATAACAGCAGCTGGAAACGTGTCATCGAGCAGCAGTACAGCGACCCAACCCTCCTCAGGGTACCGTGGCTCCTCAACAATTCTCACTGACTCATCGTTGAACCCTCAGGGTGGCAGCAATCCTCTCTATTTATATCGTTATGACAGCATGAGTTCGGAGAATAGCCTCATCAACCAGGATAGGAAGAATGCTCCCCACCAGCCAGGACCGGCAAAACGATCTGTCTCCCTTCCCCAGGGTGACGACAGAGATACGATTCCTAGTGGAAAAGTACCCCCAAGGCCTCCACTACCAAGAAGTATCCTGCGAAAACCTCCAAATTCAAATAAACGCTACAGCATGTTCGAGATAGGAGTCGAGGAGGCAGAGAGACAGTCCACAGAATCAAATAAGAGAATGTCCCTGCAGGAGCCCTACTACATCAACAATGATCATCAACTTCTGCGACATGGGAGGATCATAGACTCCGACAAAGACGTCGATGAAGTCGAGGAGAGGAGATACGTCGAGAGGATGAAGGAAGCTGCTGCAGCTAATTTAATCATCTCCGAGGATGAATTACATATCGATGAGACCAGACGACAGGATGACATAAAACAGTTGGAGGAGTTCCTCAGACGGAGTGGATTCTCCTCAAACAGCAGTGACGATGGTAGTGAGGATTCTGATATTAAACTTCGATCATATGTCAGAAAATTCTTAGCTTTAAAAATGAATAAAGATGTGGCAAAGGGTGCGGAGATGCTGGAGTCCCAAAAGAAGACTGTGAGCTTCGCTGTCCACCAGCGTAAGGCACACTTGGCTATCAAAGGAGAGACTAATGGACTTGACAATGATAAAGAGAATACTCATGCATTACCAATAGATTCCTCAGAGGGCAAGCCAATAGATCTGAACGACAGATTCAAATTCATAGGTTCAGTGAGTAAAGCAGTGGATTTATTGATCAGGTATTGGCAGTCTGACCCGAAGGACGAGTACGAGAAAAATAATGAGTGCGCTCAGCTGTGCCTGAGCTATTTGTGTCCTACACTGTACGCAATAATGACCAATGGGCTGAAACCACATTTAAATTCTACATTCGGCCCCATCAGCAATAGCGTATGGCAGGTGGTCGAGGCATCCTCCCAGCAGGGTCCACTGACAAATACCCTGAACGATCTAGTTCAGAAAATAAATAGTGAGGACTTCATGACAGAGGGCCTCTTGAAGTTCCACGCCTTCGTCTTCGGCCTGTTGAACCTGCGAGCCTTGGACGCATGGTTCGCCTATTTGTGCACCAGAGAGTCAATCCTGAGAAAGCACTACACCACTGGGAGTTTATTCGTAGCAGCGCTAGGGTGTGCAGAGACAAGAGAAGTAATCGACAATTTTCTCGGTCTACTGCAGCCCCTCGCCTTTTGCCCTTTCGAGTTGGACCTCCTGTATCAGTATCGCCAGCTACATAACAGTTTTGGCAATGCCAATGGCATTGGAAGAGCTAGTGACTCGTCCAGAGAGCATCTCGAGGTCAGCCCCGAGTACGTCACTCCTAGGGGAATGAGTCCAAAGAAAGTTCGTCCGAGATCCTGTGGATATGACGACACGAGGGTCGATCCGGATAATGCCATGAAGAAACGCTGGAGCAATCTTATCAGGACCTCCAAGGTGCCTCTGGATGACTCTGAGGATTACACTGACAGTCTCGAACACTCGCCTCTGATGAACCGAGGAAATCGCCGGCACCTGAGGACGACAACTCCAGATCTGAAGGCTCACGACAATGATGATAATGAAGAGTGTAATTCAATTCCTGGTGAATTGAAGTTCCGGAAATTACAGGAGAAGTGGGAGCTGATGATGGGAAAGGAGGAGGCGAGAGAGGCACCCCTGCCAGGGCGATCGTTCTCACCGAATCAAACTCCCACTAGTGTTGGTAAATCAAAAATTCCACGGCTTCTCACTTCTCCCGTAAAACAAGTGTCGAATGCACTATCAGGAAATCCTAAGAGCAAATCACCTGTGAGTGGAATTCCGACGTTGAAAAAATCGATACCCCCGAGCAAATTGGTTCCCAAAAAACATACAGAGATCAAGTCCAAGGAGTTACCTCGGAGGACCAGTCGAGTTGATCAGGAACACGTGGCTCCGACGGCAAGGCCCTACTTGACGAGACCTAGCTCGTTACCTTATAAATCCCACGGAATAACTGCTAAAGAAAAGAATTTAATTTCCCCTCAGAGACGAGCTGCGTCCACTTCCTTGCCGAGGGCAAACACACCTGCTGCATCGAAAAATCCGTCTCGGAAGAAACCTCTCAAGTACGTACTCTTCTTTTATCTTCTCGAATTCCCCAAAATGTGCGAAATCAATGAGTCGATGAAAAAATTTGATTTTTGAGAAAAATTCGCTTTCCCATGCTTCCATTTCATTTTTCATTTTCACTCCTCTAGTTCTCCTGGTCATTATAATATACTCTAAGAGGTAAATAAATTAAAAATCACCACTTTAATCTTAATCTCTTAATGAATCATCTCCATTTGCCAGTGGTCCCCTGAATGACACAATTCGATTTCAGGGAGGTTCGAACGTTGTCCCACCGATTGCCATCGGACAATGGCCACTTGTCTTTCAACGAGGGCGACAGATTGAAAGTGATACTGGAAGTCGACAACAAATGGCTTCTCTGTGCTAAAGGCGAGCGCAAAGGCCTTGTACCACGATCATGCGTCCAACCGTATCAAACTTAACATACGGCAACTCCTGTTCCCAATTAAAGCCAAGATCAGCTAAAAAAACAACTGTACAGTGTATAAAGGACAAAATATTTTAAAAGCGTTTGGTAATAATGGCAAATACAGCTTAGTGATCAGCGATCGCCAATTCTAATAAATTTGCCGCCTCTTTTTATAATGCTTCACCATTTTTTACATTTAATTTGCTAGTTCGTCCCTCCAAGTGAGTTTGGATAATCCCTAGTCATTCTGTCTGATAAAAAAACACACAAAGATATAAGACGATATATTGTGAATTATTAGTTATTCTTGATGATGGCGAAGAGAAATATAATTCTGAGGAATTAGTACATCAGTTAAGGGTTTGTCTATATCTTTTCATAGTTTGCGCCTCTAGGAGAGTCAGTAAAATCATGTCATTGGAATTATAATTTATAGATATGTTACAACTTTAACTGTGATCGTAGCGTGTAGACTCATGAGTTCACGAGCGGTAATAAATCATTTCCTCGTTTCACCTCCGTTAATCGTCTAGAATGTTTAACATCGATGTTCCACGTGGTAACGTGGAATATTTGCGTTTTTTTTTTCATTAATTTTTATCGTCCAGTGTTTAAGTCCATATCATTACGATGTTCACGGGATTTCTGTTATTCTCTGTAGTTCATGTTTTTGCTTACTATTATAGAGTGTAAAGCCTCCTGAGATCGTAAGGAGAAGAAATTATAGTAGCTACATTGCTGAGATTTATTGCTTTATGTACAGTCCATGTGTGCCGCAGACTAAACAGAAAATTAGAAATGTGCAACAGCGATTTGCCAGATGATGGGAATCATTACAGAGTTGAAATTCATACGGATTTATAAAATATAACAGTGGAGGAGGAGTAGTTTGTATATATTCTATATATTAAATGTACAAGTATCTCACTTTGGCTTTACTGACCGAAAATCATTAGATGTTGTACTCATTACGTTGAAAACTAATGATAATTATATCGTATTCTGTGCGGGGATTATTGAAATTAATAAGCAATACATAAAGATGATATGAAAATCACGGATGCGAGTGAACAAGAGATCTGGTTGAAATTTTAGTAACAACACTCATAACTGAGAAAACATATAAGTATGTATACATTTACATAAATAAAATGATGATATTCATGATGGAAAAGTGTTTCGTCTGTTTTACAAAATAAATGATCACTATTTGAAAATGTTAATGATATTTTTTATTGAAAAATTATGGGAGGGAGGGCGAAGGGAGGGATGTGTGTCTACAGATTGTTTCTTATTCATTCGAAAAACTAACTTAGACTGAAAAAACTAATACGCTATAATGAGTTTTGTGCACAGACGCATCGTCGAAACATTCTGGAGAATATAATTGATATTATCGGGTGATGAATGAAAATTTCCAATCTCCCAATATTTTTCTTTTCTTTTATACGTATACCATGGTATTTACATAATTAAACATCTCTTTTTATTTTCACAAGTGTGGACAATGCATTCCAAGTGAAGGATATCCAGCTCATTTACGCCTGTATTTCGCATATAACTGCAATATAACATATAACGATAGCTGCTACATAATCCAGAAAGCAATGATTATTCAATCATGAGTTAGTTTTATAAAAAATTGGACGAAGTATGTCCGTTCAGTCTCTGCCCCTTCGATTCGTCAAATTCAACGAAAAATTCAATGGAAAATAAAACAGTATAAATGGACTATTACCTCGATGACAGATTGCTCAACAAAGCCGAAAAACATTCGCAATCATAACTTCAACAGTTGTTTAAAAATATAGAAAAATATTCCCACAACTGGGGGCTAGTGTAAATTAATAGATTAAAGTGAAAATTCAACACGAGATGGACAAATTTTTCAGCATAATTACATACGCTAGATATTTTAGTACATTTTCGAATCATACAATTGAATTATTTCACTGGTGAGTACGCACTTAATGCTTGTATGGTTTTTTTTTTCAATAACAATTCACTGATCCGATCAACTCCCACATGACTCCCTTTCAAAGCTCATTTCATCAATTAAAGTGAAAAATTGTGCAGGTACGAAATGTATTAGCAACCAAGTTCTTATTTTCCCTCATTCGACATCAATCTAATGCACAATTCGGTAGAAAGGAAGTATGCTGCCGACCAACGATGAAAATAATGACTTGTTACATCTTTATCAATTGCAAGTGATCTATTTTCCACTAGAGGATTCTCAAATTTAATATTGCACGATTGGTGATCCTAAATATCGAAATTCCAACTCAAACATCATGCAAAATAATCACAAATTCCCTCTACTTTTTGGTTTCTTAATACTAAAAAATAATAATGCAGCCAGTGAATTAAAAAAAAATGAAATAAACAGAGAACGTAGAAAAATTAAAAACATATGAGATTATCTACACTATTTGGCACTGTCAAAACCCAATGTCAGTCAACAGATGTCCATTTGATCGATGACTCAAGAATAAATCCTCTCGAGGAAGGAAATCAAGCATGCGTGGGATATTAGCGACGGTTGAACTGTTTGTAGCTACACGAGGAAAACATACGATACTGAGTAGACCTATTACATATAAAATTGTTCTTCCTCTTATTAATTTCCATAATAGTCTTCAAACACACGATTGAAAAAATTGATAAGTTTTTATTCATATGCAGCTTACTCTTCTCTGCGTTAAAATCTTCATCGGTAGAATTCCCTGTACAATTAATTACGTATCCGTGGCCTCGTACGGTTCAGACAAGTAAGTGTCGATCTAAAATTTTATACACATTTCTTTAATTAAAAACTCATGTTGTGGCGATCAAATGAGAATAAATGACCGTGTGAAGATTAATTTTGTTAATATCCATGACAGATTCATAAAGTTTCAATTAATCCTCATGCTGAATGATTTACCAAACGATAAACTTAGTAGAAGCTCCGAAAATTGTCTCGTTATGCTAAATTCCTTGTGGCTATATCAATCGGTTTACACGATTGTATCTACCAGGTACATTGTATTAGGGTCATTATCAGCATCACTGGAGAATTATATAATTCGCGAGTATTTAATGATCATTTTCCCATACTCTTCCCCAAGTTAAAGATTCAACTTCCACCTCCCTAAATGATTGGATTCACTCAGCACAATAGTTAGAGTCATTAGAATTACAGAACGCTAATGAATGGTTAATAGCATTGACGAGGACAACCTTAATCCAGTTAAACAGTTTGAATAAGCGAATAAAATACATGAATTATTTACACTGTTGGCAAGATAACATCACTATTAATATTAGTTGAGCAACAACCGGGCGGCAGTGCAAGTCAGAAAGAAAAAAAATCAAGGCGTTCCTCGTCGGTGTTGCGAAAGAGCCGAGAAAATTAACGTTAAATGAAATAAATACATGATACAGAAAACAGTTGAGTCTAAGATGATGATTACAACTTATAGCTAACTACATACTAGATTCCTTGGTATTCAGACACTCGTTTGTGTTGTCGACTCTGATGAAAGTCGATGAATTTATAACGAGACTTCTACTGAGAGTAGCAACTCGCTCCATGACACACGACGCTGACAGCCTAGCCTCTGCATCATGATCCCAGCACTCCTCCATCGTGTCGCAGATTGCAACGAGCCCCTAAATAATTTCAAAAATTAAAAATCCATTCAATTAAATAAATATCACCACTATTACCAAAATAATTAGGGTCCCACTCACATTGTGTTTTCGCCACGTCTCCAGGATCAGTGGACGTTCCTTTTTATGGACCACACTCTCCTGCATGTCCTCCAGAGTGGGATGCAGTCCCACCTCCTCCTCAAATGGCAATCTGTACTCTCCAATTGGTCCCTACGTGAAGGAAAAAATAAATATATTGTTGAAAAAAAATTGAAATTAATGGAGAAAACGTTTTAAAGACTACTCACATCCTGGACAGTACATCTGGACGCCAATTCCCAGAGAACTAGACCACATGCGTACATGTCAATTCTCAGGAATGAGTCGCGCGTGAAATTTATGGCACCCTCGAGGACTTCCGGAGCCATATATCTCCGAGTACCAACCTGACAACACAGTTAAAAATTCTATTCACTCCACAAAATCGAAAATGAAATCAAATATTACACAAATATGGATTAACAATTTAAAAAAATGATCTAAAAAACGAAAGAATTGTCGTACTTGTCCATGAGTATCTCCGCAGGGTTTCCCGGGGTGAAAAATGAGTGCCAAGCCAAAATCAGCTATACACGCACTCATATCCGATTTCAGAAGGACATTCTTCGACTTGAAGTCCCTGTGAGCAACAGCTGGTTTGTATCCATCAGCCTTGTTAGCTGGAATCTCCTCATGGAGATGCATGAGTCCCCTAGCCATGGACTCTGAAATCCTGCACATCTCTGGCCAACTGACGACATTAGCCTTCAAATAATCACACAAAGAGCCCTTCTCATGATATGCCGTGATCAGCCAGAACTCAGCCTGCAAATTATCACCACGTTTCTCCACACCAATGAAATGCAGAATATCCTCGTGATCCATGTGTGCCAGCTTGAAGATCTCCTGCTCAGTCTGCCAAGACTGTTTGTCCTGCACAGGAAATACTTTGACAGCAACAACATCGTTCTTGTGCTGTGCCTTCCAGACAGCCCCAAACCGTCCCCTCGCCTTTATCTCCACTAGCTGTATTGGACGCAGACCTAAATTAGGGGATGGCTGTGGCAGAGGCAGAGGCTCGAGCGTTGGCACCTGCATGGAGAAAAAAATTATTTACCCAATGAGCTACTATTAATATTCTACTATTTGTCGAATGAAATTTCCCATTGCACTTACCTCATTGAAATACCCAAGTTTTCTCCGCTTATAGCACCAGTATAATGTTGACAGGATAATAATGAGTATTAATAGAGGCACTGACACCGACAGCACCAGTGTGAGAATTTGCTGTTCAGTATTTGGAACTGGTTTGAAATCGTGATGCTCGGTGGGTGGCTCTGTGGGCTGAGGATCCCACGTGTAATTCTGATTACACATATTGCCATCGCAACAGCAGAAGAAGAGTTTTTTCTTCCTCTCTGCGTTCTTTTCTACACATTGATTCTTGTCATAACACTCTTTGCTATCTAGAAAGCAACCCTTCAATTTTATGGTGGACTTCTTCGTCACATCATCAATCTGCCACAGCACAAAGCAGTGATTTCTTTTGTCGGGCTCCTGTGGGGCACATTCCTCTCGCTCAGAGCATCCTGGGCACATCGTTTCATTGTAAAATTCACAGTAAGTCGAGCCCTTGACATCGTGTCCAGATGATACTGCTAGTAAACCTAAAATTTATTAATTTTTATTAATCCCCGAGGTTCAAACGCTATAGGAACAGAAGTAAATTGATTGGAGATGTGTAAAAAAAATATAAAATGTGTGATTACAAAGCACGTGAGTGTTCTAAATCGGAGCAGTGTTAAAACGAGCGACAAATTGATTGATTTTTAAGTTGATGCAGAAGGATGGGATACTGATTTTACACACAACAATGACGAATGGATGTATTAATAACCCCGAGAGAGGGCTCGGTGTTTTTCCCAACAATGGAGATTGGAGTTTAAAAGAGGAGTAAATAGATTGGGGCTATTGTTCCAACATGCTCATACCCAGTAATACGAGGAGATGATACGAAGACACTACATTCAAAGATGCCATTGCGATGTTTTATGACACAACATATAACCAATTTTGTGTTTATCTGGTAGAGAGAAGTGAGAAGGCCAATGCTGTCACTTTTTGCGGCTTCAGCGATAGTGGCGACTCATCCACTTATCATCCACCAACTGAAATCACCGGTACAGTAGAGCTGAATCTCGATAATGGATCACCAACACAAATGAGATGTTGCGTCAAATGAATCTCATCAAGTCGGATATGACTGATGATTTGAGCTCTCAGTGGTATCTGTGATACCAAAAATTCTCCCTCAGAGGCTGGTGTCAACCTCCAGTACCTAGGCCAGCATCTGATTCCAATGAACTGATAAACACTCCAGCTCACACACGTTCCAAGAAAAGATCTCACGGGATAAAATTAGACGTCACTAATCAGTAATTCAGAAGAAAACAATCTGACTCTCTTCTCAATCGTTCAGCATTTTATTCCAGATTTATTCAGAGGAAATTATTGATGCTATCTGATTTCTCATAAAAAATCCCATTTTCACGGATAGTTTATTTCTTGAGGGTGCAGTAACTGAGAATTATTTACATCCTGGATAGTTGATCTGATTTTCCGGAGATTTTAGAATCTGTGCCTGTCAAGGGAAATTGGCGGAATTATTGTCCCAGAATTGTTGTTCCAGTATTTTATGTGGTGTTGATTAACTATTTGGTAAATAATTATTCTCCAATCGCCAACACATGTCTTCCCGCTCTCGTCAATTCTCAGTTGCTCTCAGATTTGCACTAGCCCTCGCCATTCTCGGGCAAATTAAATTTGCGACATTTTTCTCCTTGGTACAAGAGCAGAGACTTGGCCCAAAATAGTTGAGCAGAACGAAATTACACCACTGAGATAAACAGCATTCCAGTCGCTCTTTACATCTCAATTGCACTATTTGGGGCGAAAATTCTCATTGTGCACAGCACGATGCACTTTCTTCCCAGTTATTATTATCTAAAAACACAGGAGAACACACGGAGCACAAAGCAGAACTAGCAGACGCTTTCGGAGTCTAGGGACCCTAGGGACTCACTCGATGGTTCAGTTCAAAGAGGATTGACTAAAGTAGAGGCTCAGTCAAAGAGAATTGACTGAAGTAGAGGTTCAGTTCTGCGGGTTTGAGTAACCCCAGCGGCATCGTAGTACTGCACCCCCAGAAAGGGAGGGCGCAACTCGCAATGGTGGGGTGTCCATCAAGTCGACAGGGTGAATTTTATTTTCTGCGGCATGAATGCTTTTTGTTTGTTTAACTGGAATTTAGCCGCTTGTAGAACGAGTGGAAGGAGGAAGCCACATTTTGTGGAATTTTAAATGAAAAAAATTATTCAATATGTAGAAGATATACTCCTATTGAAACAAATAATTATAATGAGCGCGTTATCTTAACGGTAACGTGCTCGGCTAGCACGCCGACGGCTGGGGTTCGATCCTGCCAACATTCATTTTTTTTTTTTTTAAATAATTCCAATTTTTTCTTTTGTAAATGGCTAATCAATCGAAATATTGTTTAAAAACTGAAAACTTGAAAATCGGAAAGATATCTAGTGAAATTCAAAAATTTGACATTTTTTAAAACGATACTTTCGCAAAATATATACTCATAATGAAATTTGATTATTATAATAGTGCGTTATCCTAGTGGTAACGTGCTTGCCTACCACGCAGACGGTCAGGGTTCGATCCTGCCATCATTCATTTTTTTTTTTTCATAATTCCAATTTTTTCTTTAAGTAGGTATTCAGTGCAATTCAAAAATTCGAAATTTTTGAAAAAGTATCAGGGTAACATGAACATCGAGGAGCTATTCACTGAAATTTCCACTAAAAGTGAAAAATTCTAAATTTTTGAAAAAGTATCAGGAGACCATGACAATCGAGGAGCTATTCACTGAAATTTTCACTGAAAGTGAAAAATTCGAAATTTTTGTAAAAGTATCAGGGGAACATGACAATCGAGGAGCTATTCACTGAAATTTTCAC